TTGATATTTATATGCATGGCCATTAACAGTGATTAGAAATAGCAGACATCATTCCCAGATAAAGATGGTATAAAAGGGGACCTTAGGTCCCCTAAGCTTAAAAGACAATAATTTTCAAGTCTCTGAGAAAATGCTAGCTTGACAGTAGAAACAACCCTGCATGTGAGAAAAAGATGTAATTAAGTTCCTTAATGAAGTTTGAAATTGTTGCAGAGATTTTGTTTTTAAAGATCAAAATGAGATACATGAACATACAATTACAGSCACTCTGTATTTGATTTACCTACATAATTTTCTACCTGTGATTCAAGGCCAGGTTTGGTCAGCCTCGCTTATAATGTGGTGGCTCTGCAGATGAAGCTGTTGCATACACAGAATCACAGAACGATTGAGGTTGGAAGGGACCTCTAGAGATCATCTAGTCCAACTGCCTGCTCCAGCAGGGACACCCAGAGCACGGGGCACAGGGCAGCATCCAGGAACTATGTACAACTATGTACATAGCCAGGATGGCTATGTACAACTTCCTTAACCTGTTGAGGCCCCTCTTTTATGGGGTTTGTGAACTATTGCCCATCAGAGGAATGGCCTGGCAGTACCTAAAGGTGYTGTCATGGCAGAGGGCCAACAGCAAGGCTTGCAGGACAGCCCTGGGCATGCAGGGATACATATATGGGGGGCTGTGAAGCAAACAGATCTTGGCTGAGCTGCTTGGCTTGTGTGATTTTTTTCCCCCTCAGAGAAGCCAGTGATGGTGAGCACCAGCTTCCTGAAGATGGCAGAATATTTGTGTTTCTTCATCTATCATGTCATGGCAGGGACCGAGGAGCCCAAGGGTGCTGTGCATGCTCCAAGTYATGTCCCACAGTCATGTGGCCACCCACCTCTGCTCCTCTCCCTCCCATGCATTTCCCATCCTGCCCATGTATCGGGCCTGGGTCTCAGCCTTTGTCACAAGCAGCGTGCTCAGTTTTGTTTCCAAAAGTGGCATCTTCAAATGCACTGAGTCACTGCTGAACCTGTGGGTGAAGATGACAGTGATGACATTGCTAACATCCCACTCGGTGAACTAAGTTCCCTGCTTTGTTTGACGTGCAGTAAGGAGGGATACACTGAACCTCAGTGGAAGCAGCCTTTGGGAGGCTGACATTACCAGCAGAAATGTACGTTCTTCCTATGTCACTGAGATGTTTCAGAGTTTTCAGCCATGTGTCCTGTGTGCCTTCTGCAGCCCTAGAGAGCAGAATGACTCTCTAGTTTGTGCAAGAAAAGGTTAGTGTTCCTGCTCAAAGAGCTCCTTCTAGCTTGCACTGACCTGTGCTCCTTTTAGGGTCTGTGAGGGGAGTTCGTTGGGCAAAAAGCTCAAAACCCCATTCCCTTTCTTGACTGGCCTTCTCCTGGTAGGAGGTGAACTGAGAAGACAGACTTACTCTCCCACTCTAAGTCCCACTCTTATTCTCGTGACCTTCTGCAGACATCTCACACTGACATCTCCCAGAAACCCCAAGAGCCTCATCAATGCTAGCAGTTCCCATTGTGAATCACTTTGAACTGTGGTAGTGGTTGGTCTTTTTCCTGAACTAATGCTAAGGGGGGCYAGTCCTATGTGGGGGCTCCTTTTCCAGCAGCAGTAGTTCCCTTTTTCCCTCCTCCTTGCATTTCTGGTGATGCTTCTGAGCGCTGCGTTTGAAGACGGCTCTTTCTAGTGCAGCAGTCCCAGGAGCAGCAGTTCCAGTGCTGTGATTTAAGGTATTCTTGCCGRCACGAGCATGGAGCTGCTCAGCTCCCTGTGGACAAAATGATTACACTTAGCAAATCGCTGTTGTAGATTTTACTATGGATTTAATGCCATTTGCAAACATGGGACTTGTAAATGAATTGCTGAAGCAAATTCTCCAGAGACTGGAGAAATTTGGGCAGAAACTGCACACAAAAACCCACATATGTTTTAGTCTTTACAGTTTTTATTGTCTGATATGGTATTCCTCAAAGTGATAAACTTAAAATTGYTTCTCTTTTTCACATGGACAAGCAAGCTTAAGGGCTTTTCTTGACATGGAACTTCCCAGTAAGTCGCACATCAATGACCTAAGCTAAGCCTCGATTAAATGTATTAAATGTGAWTCTTAATGTCAGGTGACACATTAGACATGAATTCATTCTAATGAAATAATTGAGCAGAGCACCAAACATGTATTACTGAGGTTTAGTCATGTCTGGCTTTAACATACCAGTAGCTTCAGCCTCTTTTAATGTCTCGGTAGCAGATACCAGGATAAACTTCCAATACCTGTATGTGTTCTGTTGCTGAGACACTGAACAAAATTCTCAGGACTAGGTCTCCCTTCTCTAAGGAGAGCTTCTCACACTTGGTCATATACTGCCTTCATATTATGTGCTGATGGAGGAAATACGTAGAAGAATTAATATAAGCAGACATATAGGACAGCAAAAACTGTGGATCCTGAAGTAGCCGTCAATGTTTGATGTACATGTACATCTCGAAATGTAGGTTACTCCACTCAGTATTCTCAGATGTCCTCTAGCATGTCCAGGGAAATGCTGCCTAACAGAATTCCCACTCAGCAAAGCAAAAGGGGTAAATGAAACTGTATTTAGCCTCCCTTTAGCAAATATGACATGGGTATAAAATCTTTCTGAGCTTATGCTTTACCCGCAGGGCTTAATTACATCTGATGAAGGTTAATAACTAGCAATAGGTAAATCTCACCGTTTACAACATTCCAGTTTTATCTGAATGAGCACCTTGCACTTCAGAGGGCAATTCTTCTTGTCTCCTAAATGGTGATTAATTTTGTGCCCTATTCCCAGGGCRCATGGCCTGATGACCTCTCTGCTCAGCTCTGAAAGTGCTGTCTCTCAGGATGCATCGTGAGATGCGTAGCTGCAGTCTGMTGCTTTTTAGTTCTCAGGGGAAGGATTTAACAGCAATGCTGAGCTTGGTGAATGAGCTTTCTCATATGCTGACCAGATTTAAAGCATCATTCTTTGGGTAGCAGTGATTAGTGTGTCCTACACCAGAATAAGAGAGTGGACTGTCCTTTTTTCTTGAAAAGAGCTTCGCCTTTGAGCGTTTTCATGAGAGATTTCTTTCCTAATCAACTGGGCTTTAGTAACTTGATTAAATGCATTGTTTCCCTTGCATATTTAATGCAGAATGCCAGAAAGCAATCRGGGTCAGTAACCTCTGTCCCGGACACTTAGTACTTTCATCCATAAAGCACTTTACTAATATAAGCTAATCCTCATAATGTTCTTACAAAGTCCTGCAGCATTAGAGCTAGGTAAATAACTCACTATCAGCAATTTCAGGAAGGCTTTGGGGATGGAAATGATGTCAGATCTGCTGTGGCACTGCAGTGATTGCAGTGTGCGTGGAAATGTGGGGCTCTGGTGCCTTTTCACTAGGACGCATGGCACTACTGGATGCCTTGGCTCCATATGGAAATCTTCTCCAGCTGAAGAGGATGGTGCCAGCAGCTCCTGTGCAAAACCCTTGGCCAATCTGCAGGATGCCTCCCAGGGGTGCTGTTTGGCCTGCTAGTTTTGTGCTGCGTGAGGAGGTTAAAGCAGCATGTGGAAAGGTGTGCAGAATGTCAGAGGTGGCACGAGGGAGAGGGGGAGACCCRTGCACTCAGGAGAGAGGCTGAGGAGGAACATGGGATGGAATGGGGAACCAGGCCTTTCTGGCCATGCCTCCCTATCCTGGCCTGTGCACGGGTAGAGGAGCAGACAGCACCTTTGTGCTGCCTCTTCTGTGCCACGTGAGGGCAGAGAAACAAGGAGGAACRTTCTCATATTCGATGAACGTGTCTCTTGCCTCTATTGTTAGAAGTGGGCAGATGCCTGTTGTGCTTTCTTCTAACTTAAAGAAACGTTCTYACCTGTTTCTTTCCTGCAGTCACCTCAAGTTTTTGCATTGTAGCATTGCTGGTTACCCTCAGAACATTTCCTAAGGCGAGGCAAATGGGACAGTCCAAAATTTAGAGAAATGTTGAACTGGATAATTTCCTAGTGACTCTTTATTATGTTATAAGCATAATTCAAAATGAGGCCRTGCAAACCAACTATCTCTAATTGTCCCCTTAGGTTTCTAAATGAAATTGTATTTACTTTCCTAGCTTATCAGTATAAATGTATGCAGAAAGTCCTACAGCCATTGCTTGATAGAGAAAAATAACCAGTTAATTGTATATTACTGTAAATGTGCTGCTCTGGGTTGATTGCCTTGTTTTAGAAAGCACTTGTATAAGAAATATTTGATGAACAAAAACAATAGGAACTAGGCAAACTAAAACCCAAAAGTAGTAGTAAATCTGAAGGAAATAGTGCAGCAAATAAAGTCTAGAAAGATAAGAGAGGAGCTTGTGTCTTCAGGAAAAAATGGTGAATCTTGTTAGCCAGCTGACTCATAGGCAGATCAGATTATTAGAAGTTATATGATTTGATTCATTAAGTTGCTTAAACATGTGCATGAGCGTATGAGTAATCCCACTGAGAATACTTATGTGTTTAAGTTAAACATCTGTTTAAAACRCTTGCTGAATCAGGGCCTTCCAAAAAATGTGGAGCATAAATACTTGTATCTCTTCTTGGTGTGATGGTAGAACATGTTCTGTGCCAGACACAGTTCTTAGAGTTGTTGCATCTGGTCACATTTGTATGTTCTGTTGTTGTTTTTTTTTGTCTGTATAAGCAACATCTGCAAGTTTTGCTCCTTTTAGCTGGGAGTTAATCCAGTGCTCTATTTTGGGAATTGCTTGGCTGCCAAAACACCCCTAGCAAACTACCTCCATTCATAACAGGAGAGTTGATGCTCTGTTCTTTTAAACTTTTTCTTAATTATAAACAGCTTAAAACTGTTTGAATGGTACTATTAAGTCACTGAATCCCGCTCTTTTTTAGCTAATTACTAACATTATTTCTATTTTGGGGATGATATTTTCATCTTTGGAATTCAATCAGATTTTCTCCTACAGAATCAAGTTTCATCATTATTCTACGCTAAAGGCTGAGTTTTTGAGCATGCCAATACAGCTGGAATGACATTGGCCTTCCTGCTTCAAGGACACAAAGGATTATCCTAAAACGTAAGTGGGAAAGATCTGCATTGGGGCTATTGAAGGTTTTCTCTTTTCCTATCCAACATGATGGGTACTTGTCTTGCAGCTAGGACTCTGACCAACTCAGTGTTTCTGAGCAGCCCTTTGATTGGTAAGAACCAAATATCTGACCAGTCTTCACTGCCACACTTATTTACAGAGCCACTGAAGAGGAACACAATAATGTGGAGCAGTAATTGGCAGTAATTAACTCAGGAATAACTGCTGACCTACTAGATATCACCAGGACAACTTCAGCACAATCCCAGCACTTCAGTTGATAAGGAGTCGTAGTCTCTCTTTGAGCTTTCATTTCCTCTAGAGTTTTTTCTCCAACCGTGTGAAACACAAAGCACATACAACAGCATTTTGGAAACCAAAATATACTGTATTCACTATAGAATATGTGGAATTTTAATGGCTGGTAGAGTAGGAGTGATGTAAGCAAGTAGCTCCTTGCATGGAGGAAACAAAGAGCCTGGCTTTCAACATTTTACTGTCTTAGTCTCTTTTTCTCCTTCTGCTCCTCAAGTCTTTGATTGCTTGAGAATGAGTGACCTTATTAGTCTCTTCCTCACTGGAGAACTTCCTGTCCTTTGGCTTGCTGCCTGTTTTCATGAAACCTGCAGAATCTTTGGGAAATTTGATTGAAATTCAGTGATGGATTCAGAATGCAGAATATCACCTTGTACGTACATGTATAGTATCAAGGATCACATAAATGCGGTTTCAGTGGGAAATCAAGCTAAAATCCTGCCACACAGTGAGATGTCTCTGCGATCTCATTCTTTGAAATAAGACAGTGAAGGTATAACAAAGGAAATAAATGTCTTCTCCCTAAATGGAAAACAAACACAAAATGTCAACTGAGACCAAAATACAGCCTTTTCATTCATTAACTGAATAGCATGGGTATGGAAGTCACGTGGTGACACTAAACATGCCACCTCACAATGCTCTYGAGTGTTCCTGCCGTGTAGTAATATAAAGTAATATAAAATAATGTAAATTCTAACATAACAATTTAAAATAATTATAAAATAATTTGGATTACTCACTTTTGTGGTGGGTATTAGAATGGAGCATGAGTGCTGKAATTATCTGCACCTCTGCCCAAGGCCATGGTCCTTCATACCCACAAAAGACCTGGGCTCAATCTCATCCTTATTTTCTGACAGTCTTATTTAGTTTAATAATGAATTTGGGACAGGGCTTCAATGAAAGATGCTATGTAATATCCTGCGAAGTTCTGAGTGACCCCAGTGAGGGTTTGATGATGTCTTTGATGAAAGAGCCCAGCCTATGTAAAAATCTTTCTTGATTAGTGAAGTCAGCTGCTGTTGGAATGATTGGGGTGGATTTATTTCTTCTTTTAAATTCAAATTACCTCCAAATAAGTTTTCAAGGCACTTCCTACAGATTAAAGGATGGGAGGAATGTGACTCAGAATATTTCAGTGGAAGGTTTTCCTCAGAAATCTAATCATTTGGGATTCTGGCTCTGTTGAATGAGTTAGCTGAACAGGTAGAGAACTTTAGGCTGCAATATATGACACAAAATGTTTCTAAACACAGTCAATATTCCACAGAAACCAGTGCTCACTGAGGGCCTGCTGTGCCTGTTGTCAAGTAGCACTTGGGATCTTGGAAGTAAGATCTGTTCTTCCTGGTCCCTCATCTGACATTCTGCCTTCCTCTTGTAAAAGCCAGAAGGAGTTTTGCCACAGATGTCCAGGGAGAAGGTGAGGCTCAGTAGTGCTTAGAAAACCTCCTAGTCKGACTGATGTGGTTGACAGCCAGCAGCAACCTCGGTCTCCTGTGTCCAGAGCCTCGACAGGGTGGCCAGGGCTTTTCCAGATGTGACACCTGATCATAGAATCCTGGAATTGTTATGGTTGGAAAAGACCTTCAAGATCATGAAGCCCAACTGTAAACCTGTCACTGCCCTGCCTGCTAAACCCTGTCCCTGAGTGCCTCATCTATGGGTTTTTTGAACACTGCCGGGAATGGGGACCCACCACTGCCCTCAGCAAGATCCCAATGTCTTATCCAGTATCTGAAAACAAGGAAGATTCTTGGCAAGCATCGGGAAAGTGTGGTGGCAGAGAAGCTGGGAAGAGAGGCAAAAGCAGAAGAGAGAGAAGGGCAGCYTGATATCTTCAAGAGAGAAGACCGGCAATGCAAGATCAGGGAGTTCTGCAAGACCTTAAAAGGGATCAGCAGATGTCTTGCTTCTTGAGGGACCTGCATATCCTAAAGCATCACAAATCTCAGACTCATCGAATTTACATTTTTTGGAAAGTCAGAGCTATAAATACATCATTAGATGATGCCCTTTAGTCTCTTGGTTTATTTTCTTTAAAGGAAAGGCTTAGCAAGAGGCACCCTTTTCACTAATCTGGCGTGAAACTGAAAGATTTGAGAAGAAGAGAGGGCTACATTTAAAAAAAGTAATAAACACATCTGTAGGCTTGGGCTGCCCTGTATAGTAGAAATATTGAGTACATTTTTGAATGTTCAAAAAGAGGGAACATTTTTTCTGTCATAAAATTCTCTTGCATCAGTTTAAGCACATTTTATGAACTGACTTGAGGGCTCTATGTAAATCTGCTCAGGATTCTGAGAAAGGAGAGGGTTATTAATCTGGAAAAAGTGTCTTTGCTTAGAGCCAACTTCGGAATCTATTTAAAACAGGAATTTTTAACAAGTGAAGAATATTCCCTGAGTTACCCTTAGATTAGCTTCCTTTTATGGGTACTGGGCAGAGCCAGTAGAATTTTACTCCTGGTAAAAAGTTTTTACATCCCTGAGCAGATATTAAACATGATCAGCATAACATCAATGCATTTGATGAGATTCAGCCCACATAGTTCATTCCTCYAAAGGCAATAGAGGTTTTGCCATTTCTTGTACCCCAAACTATTAAAAGAGAAAGACCGAATAAGCTCCCACAACTGATACAAATAAAGCCAAATAATAGATGATTTTAAAAATAAAACTAAGAAGAAATGGCAGGACATTACTGTTCATTAAAATAAAAATGTTTTCTCTAAGACAAGTGGAAGGGATGAGTATTCTTCCCAAATTTTTACTGGCTGTTGAAAATCCTGTCTTTAAATATTTGCATCCTGCCAGCCTGATCAGAGCTCACATAAGAATGCAGCCCAGTCAGTCACTCACATTATATTGCAAATATAATAGTTTCCATTTTCAGGGGGTGCTGCCTGTGTCAGGTTAGGATTTTCCAATGTAGAAATTCATTCAAGACAGGAAAATTTGGGGACCTGTAGCTGTTTCCTTTGTTGCCTGCTATTTGAACCCACTTGTTTCCCACTCTGGATAGTGCTGGTTGTTGTRTAATTGTGGTTTTTCTGCCCTGCATGTTCTCCCCAGATTGCATTCGCTCAAGTTTCTCTGCAATAGGTGGAACGCAGAGGATCAAGAGCCTCCAAAGGCCACGGCTTATGAATTCTTGCTTAAAATCAAATATTTGTGGGCAGTAATAGTACTTTTGTTTAGGTGTTATGTTGTGCTGTTGCATTATGYTTATTTTAGGGTGGTGGTGCCTATAGCAGCGTTAGTATTTCCCGTTCTATGTAGATATATAAGCAGGTTATTATAAAACTGTTGTAGACTTGCACAGGAGATGAGAGTAATATTTTTCCAYTCAGTTGTTCACAGTTTTAGGATGTCCCTTTATAGAGGCTAGGTCAAGGCTAGCCCCTTGGAGAGAAAAGCAGATGGTTCCTGTCTCTCCAGCAGCTGGGCATACGTGGGTGGAAAAACTTTGCAAAAAAGCAGCGTGGCAGGTGGAAGAGCAACAGCACGGAGCTGGAGCCTGCAGGTTAGGGTGAGGGGCCACAGCGGATCCGGCCAGTTTGCCACAAATCAAGAAATTCACTGAGCTCACTGAAACCAAACCTGTATCAGAATGTGAGACGTTCGGTAACCTTTTTAATTTCTATTCTGCTTAAGCTGGTCATTTTAAGCTTTTTCTGTATTTCTTTTTTTTTTGTGTTAAGTTAATGTTCTAGTAAAACTTGGCTTTCGCAGTTTCAAAGTCACTCAGTCTTCTTTGGGGAGCTCATTATAAGAAAAGGTCTAGTCAGAACCATTGCAAAGCCGGGGCTGACTTGGGCACCTGTCACAGCTAGGTCATTAGAAAAAGTTAAATATATTCCCTTACTTATATGCTTCCAACAGCTGATCTTAATGGCTTACTTGAGTGCAATARAAGTCAGATTTTGGTCCAGATCAGGCTATTTACCATTTTCATAATTGTACTGTATTACAAAGTGTATGTGGACAAAGCTCTACTCAAAAATCTTTAAGAAAGAGTAACTACAGCAGTATTATTTTTGGACTACTGAGTCCCTTTGGAATTTGGAAATTTCTGCAACTGGGACCTTGGGAAGAGCCTTAGGTAGATAACGTAGGTTCCTGTCCAGATCATTAGCTCTTTGGGGTTGGCAGGAGCAAACCGTTCATCATCGTCCTCCCCAGGGAGACCCGATGGAGTGAGGTGGTGCCCAGATGTTGCTCATTAGGCCTTCAGGCTGCTGTTTTGCCCCGCGTTTGGCATTTGCTCCCTGTCCCAGACCCTGCTGAGCAGAGTTAATCAGCTGCTSTGGGAGCGCTGGCCACCCCTTTGTCTGCCCTTCTGGCTCCACCAGCTCCTAATACAGGTGGTTTGGTGGCCATCTCCATCCATTGGCTTGTCATGCAGGCCAGTGCCTCCTCAAGCTTGCCAGGATCTCAGCATTGAATTCCAAGATGCATACATTGCAGATTAGTGGGTGAAAGCCAAATAGTAAATAATAATAATAATGCAGAGTTGATGTCTTCGTTTGTGCTTTATTCTACACCAGAGTGGAACTTCTGCATCGGGGCCATCATTAGGATATTTGTGAAATGTACAGACTGAGAACCCGTGCCTTGTGTGAAAACTACTTCTTGTGTGAAATCTTCTAACGTCAAAAAAGAAGTGGCAAGCCCTGAAATAATTAAATTGGAGCTGGGTGCTCAGGCTCTCAGCAAACTATATGAAAGGTGATCCACAGAGATTTCGTAAACATCTGGTAAAGAAAGAAAGGCAATGATAAAGAAGTGGGAAATGATAACAGCAATGATAATATCCAGGTGGCTCATATAAAAATGATATGTTTATAGTCTGCTTTTATGTGAAGCATCCCTTAACTAGAGGAAAAATAAGCCAAGCTAAGGCTTGTGARGTATAAAAGCAGCAAATGTGCCATGACTGGAAACATAACAAAACTACACAAATAAGCTCACCTGCAGAATAAAACACAGTTACTGGAATTTAATGCGTTGTGTGCACTGAGCTTGATGCTGGTTATGATAAATGGAGGAAAGAGTAGCTTTCTGGCTGAAAGATGCTCAGAACCCAGAGGGATGGGTTAAAAATGGAAGTTTAGAAGTGCTTCTTTTTTAGTTCTTTTTTCCTGGCCTCTTAGTGTTCCTCTTCTTTTAGAAAGAAACAGAACAACTCTGTGATTTGTGGGGTCCAGCAGGTCTATGGTGTGCGCAGGCAAAATGGCTTTTCTCATCTGCAATCTGGCAATTACTTTGCGTGTCAGAGTAACATCTTAAGGAGGCACAAATATTTGAAAGGGTAAGTAATGATAAGGAGGAGTGAGTATTATTGCTTGACAAGCCAGATTGTTTCCAAAAAGACTTGCCCTTTTGCAAACAGGTAAGTTCTTGCACTTAATGTCTAGAGAAGGTAAAAGGCCAGCAGACAGGTCTGGGGTTTGAAAAGTGGAAAATGTGGAAAGAATTTAGTTGTCAGAGTGGATTCTATTCAAGAAAAAGCCCCAGAAAAATTCTTTGGCCCAAAAAGCTGATGTTATCCTCGGTTGCGCAGGGAACTATATGTGGAGTCAGTGCTATTTCCATATAATGGGAATAATAATTAAGAAGCAGTGCTCCAACATTAGCACATCTAAAGCAATCTAATGTCAGCTAGCAACTATTTGGCTTTATGTAGATGAGTAATTCCAAAGTGATTTTTTTCTCCTGTTTGTCATAATTTTCTGTACATTTTTCTTCATTTCCAAGCTTTCCAAAATCATCATTTTTTCCCTTTGTTTGGCTACCTGATGAAACCATGGCTATTCTGTTTAAACCAAAGAAGGTTTAAAACCACCTTCTTGGCATCCTGTTTTTCTWTAAAATAAACTTTAATTGGGATTTAGTATACCATAAGTATTCAACCCCCAGAATTTCCAAAACAATTCCAACCTTTCTGTTTTCAAGGCTGTGCCTTGCTTTTATATCGAATTCACATCCGCCCACTCTGGGGATAATTTCTGCAATGTATCATCATCGTGTCTTTCTGGATGCCTACRTTTCATCTCCAGGCCTTTCCCTTGAACCCCGGGTATCTCACTCGCTTGTCCTGTCCTTGAGTGCTGAGGCTTCCAGGTGGCTTCCCAGTCAGTGGCTTTTTTTTCAGCAATTCCTACAAATATAGACATATATTTTCTTTAAGTATGTGCACTTTGTTTCTTTTTCGGTCAGYGAGGGTGTACTGTAGCATGTCAGCCTGGCTGGACCAAAGCCTGTTGTAAACACTTCAAAAATTGATTCCCTTTTTGATTTCACTTATGATGCCAATCATCAAACAGGAACTTTCAAACAAGTCTCTGGGAGTGCAGTATTTTCTGTACCYGTTCTTCTAGGCTGTGGAGCAAAACATGTGTCCAACATGATGCCAATATAATTTGGTTGGCCCCACTATATTAAATTATATGTAAATCTTTGGTTCATTTTTACTTTCCATAGTTTCACCCGCTTCAAGAAGAGAAGAAATTCAGGCCCAAACAGTCTGACAATCGTTTGCTGTATCTGTGGCAAATTGTATATGTATTTCAATGTTACTGTGCTGCTTCATTTGTCACTTAGCACCTTTGCTCTTGTTCCATGATGCTTTCCCCTCTCCATTTGTTGTGCTAGCTGGTCATTCTTGGTAGGAATTTGAGCAGTTAGTGCCAGATCACGCAACTGGTATTAGCTGAGGCCAGAGTCAGGGCTGGGCCGGGGACCTGGGCTTAAGCTGCTTCATGCATGGGCTCCTTCTTCATGTGCAGCTCCTAGATGGGCTGGAGAGGATAGAGCTCTTGGTCGAGCCTCACTGATACCCCAAGCTGGAGCCCTCCCTGGACTCCAGAGAGCAGCCGTGGTGGCTGCGCTAGGCCAGGGGCAAGGACCRGATTAAGAGCTGCCAGAGGTCTCTAGTTAGCCCAGCTTCGGGAGTGGAGATAGCCTCATACTCCGTATTTCCATATATTTCAGTGAGAATTCTGTTTAAGCCAAAGTTTTTTTTTCAATGTGTGAGTGGGATATTAAGCAGGGTCAGGAAACATTCACTTCTCCTTTAAAAAAATTAAAAAAAAAAAAACTAACCCTCAAAGTTCTCTTTCCTGAACAGATATTAGCCATTATCTGGCTAACCATGATCAGCACAATGGCTTTGATGAGACCCAACCCACAGCTTGTTCCTCCTGAGCAGACCGGGTTTTCTGCCAGCCATCCTGCATTCATTACATCCAAACCTAATAAAAGAGACGGAATGAACCCTCGTGATTGATGCAAATAAAGCCAAACGCTGCTACAAACGAAATAAGGGGTCATTATCAGTTGCTGTTATTCTGCAGAGAGAATATACTCAGCAAACTCCATGCAAAATATAGCTAAGCAACAACTTTTCCCTGCATTTGCTTGTTAATTGGTGCAGCGTTTGCGTCTTTTAACATATCCTTCAGGTACTCTGTCCAGCCTGCTCTGTAACACCGGTGAGTTAGTACTACGTGCTCTTCAGTGCTGCTGTTGGCTTGGGCTGCTCCTTTCTGTTCCTGGCTGGTTTACCTACGTTTTTCTTACA